TAAGAGTAAATTCCAGTGTACAATTCCAGAAAGTTGTAATATAAAGTAAAACAAAGTTCTCTGGATTCAAATACTGTTCGTAAACTGAGTTTCAGAGGCGAGGCTTCATCTAGGATACAAAGGTTATATCAACCTGGAATATAGCAACCTGGAATATTGAAAACATTCCATAGCAGAAGATCATTTCCATATGAAATGGATAGATAATTTTGTTCCACACGAACACTGATGCAGTCTAGTACAATTATGTGGAATTGCTGAATGAACTCTATACTCCTGCAACACCACGTCACAAGGCAACACCTTGGATAAAATTTGAACCTAGACTTTTGTTATCTTCAATTAAAATAAATAACTGACAGACCAAAGTTAAAACATTTTTTCTTGGGCAATTTATTCAGTATTGAACAATTTCACGTTTAGTGATATCATTCCTAATAGCAAAAACATTAAACTTACAAATTCTGTGTTGATGCTATCAGTTTAATTATTTCTGGAATAGCTTTAATCTGATTCTGTCATCACATACATGATCCTATCTTTTTGTTGAAAGGTCATATAATGACTCTGTTTTGGTTTGATTTCAATAGCATTATCAAACAAATTTTTACTCTGATTGAGAATAATACATTTTGGATTTTGGCTCACATTACTAATTTGATGATCCTATGAATGGTACGGGAATCCAAATTTCCTAAATGCAGTCATGCCCCACATCTTTTTTGTCTTTGGAAAAGTTACAAATCCCTCAAAAAAAATTCCATTGTTTTGAATTAATGCGTCTAATCCTATAATCCCTAGCGTGCATTATTATAATATTTATTGATGATACGTGGGGGCAGGTGAATAATACAGATGAAAGAGCATAATTGTGGACCAGTTATGCAAATGAGACTTCTGGCAGTTGGATGTCATTGTCGATTAGAGCAAAGTTATGAATGTTGCAACAAGAAGCAACAAACATGTACAAAATGAAAACGTGGGCATTAGCTGGGGTAGCACAAGTAAAGAATTTGGATGAGACTATTAATCATTCATTGAAATGTTCAGGCAATGTGAAGTTAATCATATTAAGGATAACCCCATTATATTCTGGCCTGGTTTTGCACGTCTCCTTATAGCACAGCTTTACTATAGACTCACACTATATTGAAAGTGCAGTACATTTCCGGCACTGACTGGTTGCTGAGTGTGAATAGTACCTGCTCCTAATAACTGGCCTGCCTTTCCAAGACCTGCCAATGAGCCGGCCTGGCTGTGCTGTCATCAGCAGTGCCCTGGAGTACTATGAACCCGCCAAGCTCAGGAACTAGACTACTACAACAACAACATTACATTTGTATAGCGCATTTCACGTAGGGAGGACGTCCCAAGGCGCTGATAAGACCCCCTGTGGGTAACACAGATCAGCATGAAATGCATGAGAACATTGCCGCCATCTTCCTATCCACAGCTTGGACATACATCCTTCCCCACTGAGCAATGGTTTCACCAATTGGAGGTGGGGAACTTCAGCAGCAGCTGTTTACCTCTGTGCAAACCAACAGAGATGGGTTCCAAGCACTACATATACAAATGCATGTTCACAAACTTGGCTCCAGGTAACGCCTTCCAGCAACTGTCACCCCGAGCCTCAGAGTTTCCTCATCAGCTATCAGGTGGACATCGTCATCTGTGATGGGATAATCTTTACATGACAGCTCACGACATTTGGCGTTCTCAAGGTCCAAGTCCAATGGCAGATACCAGGCTTCCTCAGCACTAGCTGCTTCATACAGGTCCTCATGTGAGGGGCCTGGGAAAGAGATGTGACCTCTGTGAAACCAACTCTGTCTCCAGGGAGCGCTTACAACAACAACAACAAGATTCCATTTATTGAGCGCCTTTCACGTCGGGAGGACGTCCCAAGGCGCTGAACGGTCAGTATAAGCCAGAGAGCTCTCTCCCTTCAACTTTTTCCCGTGTTTGATACAAATCCACCTCAATACTTGATTCTGAACTTTGCAAATGCACCAGAAAAGCCCCCACCCCCATCAGAGCTCAGATCCATAAAGAAGGACTGTTTGCACATAGTTTTTATTTGCTTCAAGCTTGACCTGCAATGGGGTCCTACTGAACTACAACAACAACTTGCATTTATATAGCATCCCTCAAGCAGGGCAGCGTCCCAGAGTGCTTGATATTAAATAGTAAAGGCAGTACATAGAGAAATGATGATAATTGCAAGACTTAGCATTGTAAGTTATGAGTGTAGCTTGAATAGCTGAACCTATCTTCATTGGAAAAAGATGTGGGGAGGAAAAGACAATGACCCCGGGTTTTAAAATAAGGTACAAATAATTAAAGCAAGCATTTGACTTAAAAACCATGAGAACAGGACTGGAGGGCATTGAATTAAAAATACAATATGATTAACATTTATATAGCGCTTTTCACGTCAGGAGGACATCTCAAAGTGCTTAACAAATGGTTTGCTATCCAAACTCGGGGTGTGGAGGGGAAAATAATCAAAGCCAGAACCAGTGGCACACCATGAGATGGATCTTGAACAATATGAGGAAGGGAGCAAGTCAGAGGGCCTTCCAAGATTGAGTTCCAGAGAGAGATGGAGCAGAAGGGCTGAAAGTCTGCCTGCCTGAATTAAAAAGCCACAAGAGATGGGAAGGTTTCTCTACCACAAAAAACACAGAACAACAGTGTATATACTAAAAAGATCCCGAAGAAAGCAGTTGATATATGTAAGTTGTTGGTACATTACTCCTTCAAAAGAAAAAATTAAGCTTGAAAACAATATTGGAGGATACAGCATAAGAAATATGTAATATGTAATATGAATATGTAATATCCAAAATATGTAATATCCGAACTGAATGAATAAATGTCTCAATCAGACACAATGTTGCTGAAGGAAAGGAGGCCCGATTTTAATACTGTAGATGTGGGATGACTGAATATTCTGGACATTGTGAGATCAAGAAGTGTATGTGCAGACTTATCTTTGGGTTTCAATAAGCAAGAATGTATGTAGAACTTTTCTATAGAAGAGAAAAATGGATGAAGTTCTTATTATAGTTCAATTTGCACGGCCTAGGAAGAGAAAAGTTTTGATGGGCAAAATGGCCTATTCCCATACTTATTTATCTGTTACTCAAGAATACTTAATTGTATTTGTTCAAATTCAGTTGCACGTCCGTTTACTTTTCCCCTGCAGTTTACAGACTGTATACACAAACAAGCTTTCCTCGCCTGTATCACTTGGATAAACTTGATCACCACTGCCTGTTAAAAATTATGATTCAATTGCAATAGCTTGCCAAGCATTACTGGTTAAGTTCTTCCCATTCTACAGCTAATAAAATACCATTGCATCTTCTCCTTTTTAGAAGTACAATATTCAATTTAATATCTTGTGTTTAGCTTCATGTAAGTTAGTCTTTTCAGGTTTCCACTCCCCTCCCAAACCTTTACCAAAGATGTAGATTGGGAAGTCAGGTGGCTCTCTATTAGATTCAGAGTTAACTCCTGTTAAAATCAGTAGAACAACCTAGGATCCAAACTATTCTTTCCTATAACCTTCGGGTCCACAAAATGGCCTTCACAATTAGAAAATGCATTAAAAGAAGTATTTCCTATTAATAAAAGACATCAGTGATTTTTCTTTATATACAAAAAAATCATAATGAAGAGGTAACTTACAAGTCACATGAATGTCACTCTTACAGCCTAGTGCATAGTGCCATCCTTTGAAAACTATTGAACAATTGTGCAGATAATCACTCCTAAATTATCAAATACTGTATGTCAACAAAGCCTGACAGAGAAAAACTGTCAACACGTTGAAATGTGCCACAACACTAGGATGAACCTTCCTCCCCCTTCTTCTCTTCACACTATTTTTTGTATGGGTTTAAGTCTTGGAAAAAAACCTAATCAAAACAGCAATGAAGACTTATCAAAGGCAAAGATCTAAGATTACCTGAGGATAACAAAATCGAGATGCATATCACACCAATTTGCAGCCTAAGCTTTGAAGTCCCAAAATGCTAAAATAACCTCTTAAGTATTAATCCTAAAATTCTATGTAGTTACAGAATGATCATTGTGCAACTTGTCTAGGATAAACTGATCTGCATTATCCCGTATGTACCGTTGCTCACAGGAAACCAGCAAACGAACCACAAGAATCTGCCAAATGCCTTTGTGGCTTTATAGCCACCACTGGCTGGAGTACATTCTCCTCCACAAAGTTTCACTGCACAAAAATAACAAGTCGGAACAATTGCCTTTGTTGTCCTTGGCCTAAAACAACAACAACAAAAAATCCTCAAAAAGTGTGCAAGGGAACGTTTTTTTTGGGGGGGAAAAAAAAGACACACACACACCCATAAGGTATGTCATTCCACTCGAAAAGTTACAACCGTTGCAAATTGACAACCGATTGCAGGACTCCTGGCGACACCAAAAGAAAGAAAAACAACACAATGAAATGTGCTTTAGGCCATAACATGGGCAAACCATAACATGACGAACCCTCCCTCCCCTCCCCTCCCCTCCTCTCTGTGCCAGCCACCGTGCCACCAATACTGCGGTCTGATCAGTGGGTCGGTGTTATTGCAGCACTCGGCATTAATAACTATAAGAGCTATTAATCATATGGATAAACCACCACCACCAGTCAGTCAGTCAGTCAGTCAGTGCTCCACCACCACCAGTGTGTGACGCGGCGCTCAGACCTGTGCACGTCTCTCTCCCACGATGGGAGCTGAGCAAAGATAAACAAGTCACCCCCACACACACCCACCCACCCACTCACTCACTCACGAGAGGAGATCGCACGATAAAAGCCTATCGCTCTGCTCCAGGGCCGGTGAATTACAAATAATAACTGATCCGATGTTTTCAGAGGCCAAAGCCCGGCCGGGCCTGCACCCCCAGCCCCCACCTCCACCCCCCCCACACACACACCCCACACACACACACCCCCCCACCCACACACCCACCTTGTACACATCGCCGTACGTGCCGCTTCCTATCCGCTGGATCAGCTCGAAATCCTCCTGCGGGTTCCTGCGGGACAGGTCGAAGCTGCCGTGGCCGTGAGAAGTCATCTTCCCGGGAGGGAGGGAGAGGAGAGGGGGGCGGGGGGAGAGGAGGGGGAGGGAGGAGGAGGGGATGTGGGGACAGCTTCCTGCAAAAGCTTCACTCACTCACTCACTCACACTCACTCACTCAACTCAACCCCCGAACAACACATATACACAGTCAGCCTTTCCCTCTCTCTCTCTCTCTCCTTCCCTTCGGTCAGTCAGACCCCCCCCACACACACACACAGACAGACGGACGGGAGTCTCTCTCCTTCTCTCTCTCTCTCCTTCTCTCTCTCTCTCCTTCTCTTTCTTTTTCTCGCTCCTTTTTCTTTTCTCGCCGCCGCCGCCGTCGTCCAAAAAAAAAATCACGACCCGACACTACCACCAAACATGGCTTCCGCTGTGGCGGTTGGTGGTGGTGGTGGGGGGGAGGGGTTGAGAGCTGCGCACGCGCACTGCCGCCCATTCCCGAGCTCTCCGCGGAGAGGAGGAGGAGAAAGGGGGAGGGGATAAGGAGGGGGGGAGGGGCTGGAGAGGAACAGGGCCACATAATCATAATAATAATAATAATAATCCTCGCATTTGATATAGCGCTTTTCACGTCGGGAGGACGTCCCAAAGCGCTTCACAGAACACACTGTAAAGTGAATTGACTGTATATTTGTGGGCGAACGCGGCAGCCAATTGCGCACAGCAATGTCCCACAAACAGTCGTAGATTGAAAATGACCAATTTATTATTGTTTTTGGTTTTGGAGGGATTATTATTAGGCTCTGTGTGGAGTAAGGAAACTTGCCCAAGGTATCGCCCTCTGCCTGGAATTGAACTCAGGTCTCTCGCTTGCAAAGCGAGTGCTCTAACCACTGAGCTACAGGACTCCACTATAGGATGTTTACCAATAAATAATATTGCAGTGTGGGCAATCGTTGCTGCTGGTGGTGGTCAGGGCAATTTGTTTCTCAAACTCGTGGGATGTTCCATGATAAATAACGCCGCGAACGAATAGCTGCCGGTGGTGAGGGGCCGGAAAAAACGGGACGGTTGCCGATCAATTAATATTGCAACCGCGGCGGCGGCCGCCGGCGGTGGGGTGCAGGGTTGAGGCAATAGGATGTTTCGTAACGGACGAATCCCATCAGGAAGAACAATAATCCTCGCGTTTGTGAATTGACTGGTGTATTTGGTGGGGCGGAACGTGGCAGGCAATTGCGCACCGTCTTGTGCCACAAAAAAGTGGTGGATTGAAGTGACCAAATCATTATTATTATTATTATTATTATGGGGCTTTACCCTGCATGAGGGGCGCTTAATTAAGAAATGGATGTAAAATGTGTTCTGAAATCTTGCCCTCTCCCCTCACATGGCTTCCGAATTATGAGAGCAAGTCCCTATCTTGGATTCCCACCCAGAGGTTCCATTGTGTTCAGAGCAATTTAGTAATTTGGCTAAACCATTTTATCTTGTAAAATGGTGTTGAAAGGTCACAGTTTGTGATCCAGAACTTAAATAACAGGTACTAAACAACTTCAAGAACCAGCCACTTTTTGTAATCTGCTACTACTATCTTTATATGCCGTGCCTGTCTGAGGTACTGCTTTTATAAGGCCTGTTTGCCAAACTATTGCATCAAGTTAGAATATTCCACGCATCCAGTAGTTTGGTCACTGCTGTTGTTCAGAAGTTAGAGTGAGTGAGAGGTATTTGCAAACATGTTTTGACAACATTCCTTAATTACAGAAGGAATGTTTTTAGGATTTCAACAATTTTTATGCCATTCAAGCAATTTGCTGATGACACCAAGCTAAGTAAGTCGATGAATGATCTAAGGAAGATAAATAGCATGTAAGAAAGATCTGGACCAATTCAACAGATGGGCCAAGGAGTGGCAGATGGATTTTATTGTAATCAAATGCAAGGAAATGCAGAGTGCAACAGGCACAACCAGCTGAATTCTACTTCTGTGCAGTAGAATTTCTATGGTTCTATAGAAACAGTTAACATCTGCAATTCAAGAGGCCATAACCGGTCACAGACATAAAGAAAGGGAAGGATATTGTTCTGATTATTGATCATTCAGTGAATTTTTCTAATGTAGAGCTGCTGACCCCAAAGTTAAGTTGCGTCTGGAGGATATTTAACTAATAGTTGAAATTTTATTTTATAGATCACTAGCGGGGCTACATTTCGAGAAATATATGTGTCGTTTTGGGTGTTGGAGATGGTCAGAGACAAGCAACAGAATGATTCCAGAAAACAGAGTTCTAAACTCACAGATCTTAATTTGAATTTAGTTGAAAATTAAGGGGGACTTAATCCAAATGAGAGCCACAGAAAAAAGTAGATGTCATCTGCTTATGCCAATCTCAGCATTATGCTAGGATCTGGGATTTCTAGAATCTGGGATTTCTCCATTCCTTTGCTGTTTTCAGTCATGCATATTGATGATTATGTGCTAAAATAAGATATCGGCTTTAATAATACTAATAATTATCTCCAGAACATGAAGAGTGCTTTGTCAAATATATGGATTATTATTTTTTTATTCTCAGAAGTGTGCTCCTTGTTCAAAAATATATTATGTGCTCTCCAACAACAACAATAACAACAAGATTACATTTGTATGGCACCTTTCATGTCGGGAGGACTTCCCAAGGTGCTGGACAGTGTACAGCATTTCAGACCCGAGCAGGGGTCAGGGGCAGAGAAGGGAGGAGAGGGAAGCGGGGTGCCCGATGGCATGGTCAAAGAGGAAGGTCTTGAGGCGGGACTTGAAGGAGGCTAAGGAGGGGGTGAGGCGGAGTGATTGGGGGATGGATTTCCAGAGGTTGGGGGCAGAGTGGCTGAAGGCACTAACGCCAATGGTGAGGTGGGTGGGTCGGGGGACGTGGAGCAGGCCAGAGCCGGCTGAGTGGAGGGAGTGGGCGGGTTGATAGGGGGTCAGGAGGTCGCAGAGGTAGAGTGGGGCGAGGCCATGGAGGGCTTTGTATGTGAAGACCAGGATCTTGAACTGGATCCTCTGAAGGATAGGGAGCCAATGGAGTCGGGCGAGAATGGGGGAGATGGGGTCACGGAGTTTGGTGCGGGAGAGGACACGGGCTGCAGAGTTCTGCATTATCTGCAGCCTGTGGAGGGAGGAGTTGGGAAGGCTGACAAGCAGGGCGTTTGCATAGTCGAGCCTGGAGGTGATGAAGGCATGAACAAAAGTTTCAGCGGCCTGAGGGGTGAGGTAATGGCAGAGTCGGGCGATGTTACGGAGGTGAGGGAAGGCAGAGCGGGTCATGGCTTGGATGTGGGGAAGAAAAGACAGTTGAGGGTCGAACAAGACACCCAGGTTCCTGACTGGCTCGGTGAGTTGTAGTGTGCAACCATGGAGGTTGATGCTGTCAGAGCCTGAGGTGCTGAGGCGCTGGCGTGAGCCAATCGGGAGGGCCTCAGTCTTGTTCACATTCAACTGTAGGAAATTTGCTCTCATCCAGGACTTGATGTCCGACAGCAGTCTGTCAGGACAGCAGTGGTCCTGGAGTTGAGGGTGGAAGCAGAAAAAGAGCTGGGTGTCATCCGTACATATGGAAGTTGACCCCATGTCTGTGGATGATGTCACCAAGGGGGAGCATGTAGATATTAAGGAGGAGAGGACCAAGGACAGAGCCCTGGGAAACGCCAGACATGACAGTGCGGAGGCTGGAGGAGAAACCGTTAGAGGCAACAAAGTGGAGACGGTGAGAGAGATAGGAATCGAACCAGGCAAGGGCAGGTCTGCGAAGATTAAGTAAAGAAGAGAGGCAGTGTATGGGGATGGAGTGATCGACAGTGTCGAAGGCGGCAGAGAAGTCAAGGAGGTCAAGGAGGCAGAGGGAGCCCTGATCACAGATGTTCAGAATGTCATTAGTGATTTTCACCAGGGCTGTTTCTGTGCTGTGGGCAGCGTGGAAGCCGGATTGGAGGGGTTCAAAGAGGGAATAGCGAGAGAGAAAGGAGTAGAGCTGGGACCCGACGACTCGTTCCAGGACCTTGGAGAGGAATGGGAGGTTAGAGATCTGGTGGTAGCTGGAGAGAAGAGATGGGTCCAGGGAAGGTTTTTTCAAGATGGCGGTGATGAAGGCTGTGGGAAGGGGTGTGGGAACTGAACCGGTGGACAAGAAGAGGTTTATGACGTCGGACAGGAGAGGGGCCAGAAGGTGGAGCTGGGAGATGAGGAGAGAGGTGGGGATGGGAGAGGGAGCAGGTGGTGGGTTTGAGTTTTCGGACAGTCGTGGTGAAGGAGGAGGGAGAGATAGGGTCGAAGGAGTATAGGGGGGTATGGGTGGGGGGTGGGTCATGAGGGAGAGGTGATGTGGGGGTGGCTGTGGACGGGGCAGAGATGGCTGAACATATCCCCTCAACGGGCAGCCACAAGCAGAATATGAAATCAATGCAGGCAAATGGCAGAAAATAACACACTTTATAGTTTTAGGAATAACCTGGAGTCTCTTGTGGTTCTTGTGTTCACTGAGATATGAATAACAATAATAATAATAATAATCCTTGCATTTGATACAGTGCCTTATCACGTCTTCGAAACATCAAAGCGCTTCACAGAAAAATACTGTAAAATGGATTGACTGTGCATTATGTGGACGAATTGCACACAGCAGTGTCCCAGAAACAGTTGTGGAGTGAGTGACCAATCAATTGGGGATGCCGCAATTTGAGGCTCAGAGACCCCAGAGTGTGTGTTGGGGAGGGGGGGTTTAACCAGCTGAAGCTGCATAATGCATATTGTATATGAGAGCAAAATATTTCACTGCTCTTTTTCCATGTTTTATTTGGTTTAAACTCCACACATGTGGAAAGGCTGTTGTTATAATGGATGATTGGTCAAAGTCTAAAATAGAACGGATCTGTGCCACAATGATTGGGTTAAGTAGTGGATTTTGTGATTGCTCAGACATGTTTGCTTTGCTTCAGTTTCACATTGAATGAACAATGCAAAATGATTCACGTTTGACCAAAACCAAGAATTGTGTCCAATATACTGTTGAAACAATGTGGGGAATTTACAAACAGG